CTTCTCTCCTTCTGTTTCCTTTTAATTTTAACTGATAAAACACAAGAAAGGAGCTTGTAAAATCAAGCAGTGGAAGGGTAAGCAGAAGGTGACTCCTTGTGCGTGGACCTTTGCCGTACTTCACCATACCCCTCTTTTCGGCCTATCTCTTCGGCTCTTTTCCTAACCCTTCTTCTTTTCATCTTTCTTTTTGTTTTTCTCATTTCGAAAAGACAGAGGGAACGGAGAGATAAGGGAGAGAGGATAGATAAAGAAGAGTACCATCTTCTTTGCGCCTTGTTTTATCTCTCTTCTATTCTTTTCTTGGCTCTTCCCATGAAAATCGTGTTCCTCTTATCTTTCCCTCCTTCTCTCCCTTCTCTTCTCCTCACGAGAGCCTTCGACTTTAGGATTGAGGAGAAAAAGAGAAGAGAAAAGAGGAACTACCTGGTTCTTGTTCCTGAGGCCTCCATAGTACGACTGACGTGACAGCAGCGTACCCTCGTGGAAACGTGTATGGCTATAAGAAAACCCGAGTCCCAGCTTCCAAATAGACCCTATTTAAGCCACCCACGGGGGGGGGGGGGGGGTTTTAGGGGTTTAGGGTTTAGGGGTTTAGGGGTTAGGGGTCTGGGGGGTTTTAGGGGTTTGGGTTTAGCGCAAGTTCAGTGTTTATTGGGTGTAGGGTTTATCTAGGGTTTCGTGTTTTCTCGGTTTTAGGGTTTAGGGTTTATAGGTCGTAGGAGTGTCTGTTGGAGTCAGGCCGCAGATTTGCTGGCACTCCTGGCCGAGGACAGCCGCGTCTGGGGGAAACCTTGGTTTGGTTGAGTCTACAGAGCTGAACTCATGCAGATTCACGATATTAGGGGTTCTCACTCTAAGGCCTACTATTTTTTGGAGGTCTATACTAGGGGGCCCCTTATTAGCATAAGCCCTCCTTAGCTCTTGAGAATCGAGAGGAAAGCGCACAGTAGGGGGGTTCGGTGGTCACCATGATGGCTTCGTTGCGCCACCATTGAGACACTAGGAGCCAGCCATTAGACCTAGGGATGTGACAACAAAGCCTGAAAGAAGTCATGGGAGGAGCTAGTCTCCTAAGAGCGGTAGACATCCTAAACTCTACGCCCCAGGCCCTCAACCCACAGAGCATGAGACGTTTTAGAGCGTTCAGGGTGTGGTATAAGTCCCCAAGCCCTGAGCCCCAAACCTAGACCCCAGGCCCGGGAGCGGCTCCCAAAGCGCCTGCCATGGACCCTTACAGCTGGGCAGGATGCGCGTCGAAACCCGACGATCCACCGACTGTCATGTGCTGGTTGCAGGGGGCGCGGGAATCAGCCGAGCGTGCCGCGAAGCCATCTTTGTGCACGAGTTGGCGGAAAGATGGCATCATGAAGAGAGTCTGGGGTTGAGGGTGTGGGGTGGCGCGAAGCCCCAAAAAACTTATATGACCCTGAGGCCTTAAAGCGCTGAACGCTTCAAAGCCCCTGAGGGCCTTAAAGCCCTAAAGTCCAAAAAACTGAAACTCCAAATCCCTACAGCCCTAAAACTCTCACCCTAAACCCCAAACCCTAAACCCTAAATCCCCCTCTCCAGCCTCCGCATCCCCAGCGGTGCGCTGCGCGCTGGAGGACCGGAAGCTCGGCGATTCGACCGCCAGGGGCCAAGTTCGAAGGATCCCAAGCTCGGGGTTTAGGGTTTAGGGTTAGGGGTTTAGGGTTTAGGGTTTAGGGTTTAGGCCCCGGGGCGTAGGGTTTGGGTTTGGGTTTCGGGGTTCCTGTGTCTCTTTAGGCGTTTCAAAATGCTTTTGTTACACTATGACTCTCTCTTGAGGGATTTGAGGGTTCGAAGTCGGGGGTTTTCTGGGTTTGGGGTACCCTTAACCCTAAACCTTAAGCCCTAAACCCTAAACCCTAAACCCTAAACCCTAAACCCTAAACCCTAAGCCCTAAGCCCTAAACCCTAAACCCTAAACCCCAGCCCTCAACCTGGTGTGTGCCAAGAGTGAGGCCGACGAGGCCCTGGAAACCTGGCTCGAGGAGTCGCCCCGGGGCTGAAATGGGTTTAGGGTTTAGGGGTTTAGGGTTTAGGGTTTAGGGTTTAGGGTTTGGGGCGGTTTAGGGGTTTAGGGTTTAGGGTTTGGGGGGGTTTAGGGCTTAGGAGAGTTTAGGGTTTAGGGTTTAGAGTTTCAGGAGGGCTGTTTAGGGTGCAGGGCTCAGGGTTCAGGAGGGTTTAGGGTTTAGTGTTGCGGTTTGGGGGGTTGAGGGCTTTCTACGGGCGTGCAAGGTTTTGGGGTTGAGGGGTTATGTGTTTAAGGGGTTTATGGTTTAGTTTAGGGCTTGACCCGTGCTGTAGAGTTCGTATTCTTTAGTATTAGCGGGTGCCAGAACGAAGCACCTAAAGGATGTCACCATAAACCCTGACGAGAAAAGCTCAAGATCATAATATAGGGGCCTGAATAATTAGAATAGGGTTTTGGGGGGTATTATAGTATCATCACAAAGGGACCCTAAGGGAGTACTAGTAGTAATTATTCCGACCCCTATATTGTGCGGATCTCCAACCTTGCCCCCCAAAGGAGGCACTCCCCCTTGAGCTTTACCCAGTCCTTTTGCGTCTTAGGTTCGTGGGCTTCCCACCACGAAACCCCATACCCTAAGCCCTACACCCTAAAACCCTAAACCCTAAACCCCAAACCCCAAACCCTAAACCCTAAACCCTCAACCCTAAACCCTAAACCCTAAACCCCAAAAAGACCCTAAACCTGAAGATTGGGGGCACCCTATGAGAAGACAGTGGGCCCCAGCAAGCCCTTTCCCCAAACCACCCCAAAGCAGGGACCCCAAGGAGTCCAAACTCACCACGCGAAGCACTGCATCTTTCGAGCCCAAACCCCAGGTTAAGGGTTTAGGGTTTAGGGTTTAGGGTTTAGGGTTTAGGGTTTAGGGTTTAGGGGGGTTTAGGGTTTAGGGACCCTACACCCCCCAAAACCCCGAAACCCAAGGCGGGAGGCCTTCGACTTCCGGTTCCGCAAGGCTGTGGAGAGAAGCAGGGCAACTTCAGATGTCAGGGATCAAGACGTAACCATACGTAACCCTAAACCCTAAACCCTAAACCCTAAACCCTAAACCCTAAACCCTAAACCCTAAACCCTGAACCCTAAACCCTAAACCCTGAACCCGGCACCCTGAACCCTGAACCCTGAACCCTGAACCATGATCCCTAAACCCTAAACCCTACATCGGCCGTAGTTCTCGGGGACTTCGGCGGGGGCTTGTGGGAACCTGAGGGGTTGTCTGGGGGGTTGCAGGGCGTCAGGGTTGTGGGGGCATGTGGGCGTTGTTCTAAACCCCCTTCTCTTGTGGCTCGATGACACGCGGGCTGGGTTTTCAGAAGGCATGGATTTGACCTCGACCGCGAAAGCCGCGGAAGTGCGAGCGGAAGCTCCGGGGGTGGCTGCGAATGATTTTTCCAGGCCCGGAAAAATCATTTTCAACCATCCTGTTTGCATTCGGTGAGGGGGGGTTGGGAACGATTTTCCCAAGCCGGATTCGTTCAGGCCCCAAAGGCTCCGCCCTAGCTGGAGGACCTTTTTTTCCCAGGCTTCGAAAAATCATTTGTATCCATGCCGCGAGTCACTTTTCCAGCCCGAAACAATCATTTCAATCCAGGCCAGGGCAGAGGGTTGCTAGAGAAAGGGTTTGAAATGATTGTTCCAGACCCCCAAAGGCTTCTTTCCGGGCCGAAGTCCGGGTTGAGGGTTAGGGTTCTAGGGTTCAGGGTTGGGACTGCTACAGCACTACATTGTAGTGTTTATGAAAAGGGTCTAGGGTTTAGGGTGTTTTAGGGTTTAGGGTTTAGGGTTGAGGGTTCAGGGCGCTTGGATAAATCCTAAACCCTAAAACCCAGCTCCACAAAAAGGCGCACCACCGATGCTTCGACGGCTTGAGCTTCGCAGAGGCGTGCAAATTCGCCAGGGATGGGAGGTTCAGGGTTGGCTTAGGGTTTAGGGTTTAGGGTTTAGGGTTTAGGGTTTAGGGTTTAGGGTTTAGGGTTTAGGGTTTAGGGTTTAGGGTTGGAACTCCCTCAATTAAACCCTTGGCCGGCTCGGGGCCGGAAGCCCTAAACTCTCACACCTTTGAGCTCTGGAGTTTTTCTTCCGGAGTGTCGGGCCCTATATCCAGGAATAGGGTTTAGGGTTTAGGGTTTAGGGTTTAGGGTTTAGGGTTTAGGGTTTCGGGTCATTGACCCCAAAACCTGAAATCAACCTGCGCCTTTCATCTTGAAACCCCGGGGCCCCCCCGACTAATACGCACATCTGCCGACCAACTGGCGAAGTTGCATGCAAAATGTGTCGCCTTATGTACATCAAGAAAGAGGGTTGTTGGTTAGGCGGCGAAGGCTAAGCCCCAAACTCTGGGTACATAAAATAGCAAAAAATAGACATATGTGTGTAGAAATATTCATTGTAACTAGTAGTATTAGTGTTTGTTATTAGTATTATTTGTTAGGGTTCAGGGTTTTGGGGCGCAAAGTTTTGCCACAGAGTTTCAGAAACCTCCCAGGGCGGTGAGCAGTGGTAGTAATGGCACAGTAGAGTCATCCGCTTGTCCTTTCGTATTCCCTTTTATACCCCCAAAACGTTCAGGGTTTAGTGTTTAGGGTTTAGGGTATAGGGTCTCGGGGTTTAGGGTTTAGGGTTTAGGGTTTAGGGTTTAGGGTTTAGGGTTTAGGGTTCACCAAACCCCAAACTCTAAACCCGAAGCCCCCAAACCTGACACCCCCCCTAAACCCTACACTTCATCTCGCTGTAGAGGTTCCGGTGTAGAGCCACACGCAGTGCCTGAAGGTCCGTGGATGGGTTTGCCTCCGCTGGTTTCTGGGGCTCTCACAAACCATGATCATGACTTTAGGGTTCAGGGTTCCGGGCTTCGCAGAAAGACTCCTACAGAAAGACACGACTATGACCATCAGCAGTCTTCTACTACTGCAGCAAGACCATCATCGACGTCTGATGTGTTGCCATGCCAGTGCCATGGATGACCAATCAGCGGAGATCTTACATCCCAAACATCGCCGAGAGGGCCCTGACGGTGAAGCAGCTCTGCGACCTGCGCGTCTTCTTGCAGCGACTTTGCAAGGCCAAGCTGCTGCGCCGGAGGGCGGTCGCGCATGGTGAACGCCTGCAGTGGCATGAGTTGAACCTCTACCATGTCACGGATGAGGTGGTTAAGCCTGTCATCAGATTCCAGGACAAGATGTGGCAAGTAGGGGATGCAGCCGGATACTCGTGGGCAGAGTTGGTGGCGCCCGAACCTCAGGCAGCCCAGCTCATGGTCAGCCACTGGTGGGGAGGACGATTTGTGGACTTCATGCATGCCGTCGACAAGGTGATGGGCCATAAGGCTCTCGGCATCGGGGCGACGCTGTGGATTTGCACTTTCGCCAACAACCAGTTTGGTGAGGACTTCGGCGCCAGCATCCGAGAGACGCCGTTTGTACGAGCAGTCCAAGAGGCGGAGACGACGATTCTCATGGTCGATCGTGACGCAGGCTCATTGAGGCGCAGCTGGTGCTGCCTTGAGCTACACTACACAATCCTGCAGGAGAAGTCGCTGGAGCTCTACACGTCCGCAGGGCCTGTGGGATCCGAAGCCGTTTCTTCTGGGCCCTTGGTGGATGCAATCTCTGAGTGGGATGTGCGGGAGAGCGCAGCTTCGGAGCAGGCGTATCGGCGTCACTAGATCAGTGTTCGGGATCCTTTTTACTTTTTGGGTTATGGGCTTTCTTATATACGAACAAAAAGGATCCTTTTTTCTTCCTAGGGGAACAGGGAATAAGGTCAGATCCTGAACTTCATTGCTGACGTCCCTGAGCATTCTGGGCTGCTGACCAGAGACACGGGCGAGCTGGTCTTGGTCAACGACCGACCCCAGCTTGACACCTCGAGCCCAGACACCGAGAAGGAGTTCATGCAGGTGCACCGCAGGGCTTTTGAGGACCTGAACATGAGTGTTCGCTTCTCCGTGATCCACTCGATTGGTCCTCAGAAAAGGTCCAAGGGATGCAGGATCCCGAACACATCGCAGAGAGGCATTACCTTGGGTCAGCTCCGGACCTTTGCAAGGAAGGCCAGCCGCGCACTCACGAAGCTCTTGCCGGACGTGGCGTGGGAGCAGATTTCCACTGAGCAAGTCTGCCAGCACTACGTTCTGCCTCGGACTCTTGACCGCGGATGTTCCTATGTTGAGCTCGTGGCAGAGGGGCCTCAGTTCCCGTCGATTTACATCGACTACCAGTTCTCAATGCTCTTTGCTGAGATTATGGCGTCTGTCGAGTGGCTAGCCGAAGCTCTGAGCTTGAAAGATTGCGAAGTTTTCTTCTTCAGCCTACTGGCTTACAACCAACATCGCGCACGCCAAGAAATCTATGCGAATTCGCACCACCACGGCAATACTCTCGTGGTGGATAAAGCCCAATCTGGATGCCACAGCTTCCTGATCACAGCAAGCAGCGAAATCAGAAACGCGAACTCGCAGAAAGACCGGTGGAGCTTGAGCAAAGCGTGGCGGCTCTACAACATCGAGTGTGCCGCGTGCCTGGGACAGGCCGTTTACATCGCCTGTAGCTCTGGTGTGATGGCGTGCACCAAGCTCTTTCCCAACGGCCACTCAAAGTACGGAGCCATTGACCCCACCATTACACAGGCCATGTTCGACATCTACGAGGCGGACATCCTCCCCTGTGCCTTGGAGGGCGATGGCAAGACAATCTGGGAGTTCCTCCAAGAGGGGTACAAGGGCTCGGGTCCGCAAAGGCTGCATCGACGCCTGCAGCGCTGGAGTGCCTTTCACCTGGTCCTCGTCCTTGCGGGCTCCGGGCAGGAAGAGCTTGCGTCGTTGAAGAAGATCATCTCGATACCTGGATTTAGCATACAGTCCGAGTTCGCGAAGGGGGAATTGGGCGAATGTGCTTTGCATCAGGCAGTTGCGGCCAATTGCCAGCAGACGGTGCAGCTGCTCCTGCATGCCGGATTGTCACCCAACGCCACAGACGCCATGCAGGAGACTCCCCTACACTACGCGGCCCTGGCAGGAAACTCCACCATGGTCGACTTGCTGATCGCTGCCAGCGCCGACCCTTTCATGGAGTCGACCTTCGGAGAGACTCCCCTGGAGGTAGCTGCCCAAAACGCGGCAGCCTTCCTGGGGCACGAGTCTGCACATCTCACGGGCCCCTTGGAGCGCTACCAGACTTCTTTGGGCAACGCGGCCTGCTCCCTCAGCTGAGCTGGAGTTGCGCGCCCGAAGCTGGCGGACGCAACTAAAGAGCCGTTTTGGGGTTAAGGGTTTCATACGTACTTCAAGTAAGGGCTGTGCCCCAATCATGCCTCTGGATATCCTACTTCTCTCACTGCGCCGGGAAGTGGGGAATTGTTCGGTTGGCTTGGTTCGTGTAAGGAACTCTGGAATATTCGGACCCCCTTAACCCTCTCAACCCTCAGCCTGAGCCCTGAACCCTGAACCCCATTCTTGCCTTGTCGAGCAGGAGGGCGAGTGGCAGGGCTCCTTTTCCTTCGTCCAGATCGCGGACCCGCAGCCCCTCGCTACGCCATTTGAGCTTTGTTTTGGTGGTGGTGGGGGGGTTTGGGGTTTAGGGTTTAGGGTTTAGGGTTCAGGGTTTAGGCTAGGGTCCAGGGCTTGGCTTTGGAGGTTCAAGCAAGGCTGTGAACATGTCAAGCTCCGCTAATGGAGACCGGATGGCATGTACTCCATACCCCCACACCCCCCCGCCCCCCAAAAAAAATGCCTCAAAACCCTCGGCCGCACCTCTACAGCCTGAACCCGGAAGCCCACCTCCCCCCACCCCCAACTCCCCCCCAAAAAGAAGAGAACAAAGAAAAGCAATATCGAGGCTTGGCATGCTCCATGGCGACAAGTCCTGGGAAGAGGTGCGGCACCTTGGGCTCGGCGAGGGGGTTCAGGCTCAGGGCTTTCGATTCCAGAGGCATTCAGGGGGTTTAGGGCATCTTTGCGGAAATGGGGTGTGTGTGTGTGTGGGGTATATATGGAACAGAAGAGGTTTATCAGGCGATTTTCATGTTCCAATGTGTGATTTTGGGTAGTTGCTATCATGATTATATGGTCAGCTCTCTAACTTACGGTCCCTTTGCGGGTACCCTTTCTCATGGGGGCCGCCTTATAACATAAGGACCCCAAAAAAGGGCCCACTTTCTAAAGAAGTGACCATATAGAGGTTCTCAGGGGATGTTCTTGGTAACTATGAGTTTCCTGTGTTAGGGTTTAGGACTCACGCTAGGGTTCGCAAAGGTTTCAGGGATCGGGAGAAGTGAAAGCATGGTTTCGAGTTTAGGGTTTCGGGTTTAGGGTTTCGGGTTTAGGGTTTAGGGGGTCATCCCAACCGATCGGCTTTAACAGCCTTAAAAGCCTCAAGCTTCAGCCCTTCCTGTAGCCCTCAGGGTCTACTACGGATACTACGGATCCCCAAACCCTGAACCGTAAACCCCAAAACCCTAAACCCCAAACCCCAAACCCTAAACCCCCCCTTCCCTCAACCCTGAATTCCCTGAACCCTAAACCCTAAACCCTAAATTCCCGAAACCCTAAACCCTAAACCCTAAACCCTAAACCCTAAATTCCCGAAACCCTAAACCCTAAACCCTAAACCCTAAATTCCCGAAACCCTGGGTCTTAAACCCAATGCTTTGCAGGAGAAGGCCATGCTCAGCCTGGAACCCGTGATATGCCGCGGATGTAGGGTTTAGAGTTTAGGGTTTAGGGTTTAGGGTTCAGGGTTTAGGGTTTGGGGTTCAGGGTTTAGGGTTTGGGGTTTCGGGTTTAGGGTTTAGGCTGTTGGGAATGTAGGGAATGTAGGGAATGTAGGGAATTTAGGGAATGTAGCGAATGTAGGGAATCTAGGGAATTCAGGGAGTTTAGGGAATGTAGGGAATTGAGGGGATTTGGCAACTTTGGGAATTTAGGGAATGTAGGGTTAAGGGTCTAGGGAAATCAGGGAGAGGGCCGTGCTACCTCTAAGCAACACCTGGGTGTAAAGAGGGGATGTTGTCTCGTGGCGCCTCTGCGGGGCATTGCCCCAAGCCCCAAAGCCCGACTCAAGGAAAGCCCCACACCCTGACAAAACCCTAAACCCTAAACCCTAAACCCTAAACCCATCACCCTAAACCCATCACCCTAAACCCTGAATACAGCCTTGAGGGCGGCCAAACTCGAACTGCGGGGTCCAGTGTATCGTAGGTGGTTAGGGTGTTGGGGGTTTAGAGTTCGGGGGGTTTAGGGTTTAGGGTTTGGGGCTTGGGGTTTTCGCCTAACTAAACCCCAAACTCTAAACCCTCAACTCTAAGACCCTAAACCGAAAACCCTAAACCCTAAACCCTAAACCCCAAACCCCAAACCCTCAACCCTGAACCCCGGACGCCCTCGCATCCTCAGCTCGAGCGGTGCCGCTTTCAGGTCTTGCCGTCCAGCACATCAACAGGACCGTCTTCTTGGAGCTCGGTCTTTGAGGGGTTGAGGGGGTTCGGAGCCCCTAAATCCATCCCCTCAAAGGTTGAGGGTTTAGGGTTTAGGGCCTATTTTTCGACACCCCCCCTTACATAAATAGCCCCTAAATCCTTCCTAACCAAAGCTCCAACATTCCCCCCCCCCCCCCCCCCAAGAAAAAAACAGAAGGAAAAAACAAAAAACAAAAAGCAAAACCCAAAACCCAAAATCCACAACCCACAGCCCAAAACCCAAAACCCAAAACCCTAACCCCCCCCCAAAAAAAAGAACAATAAAATAAAAAGAAGAAAAAGAAAGAGGCTGAAGCCGCGCTTCCTCCTCGTCAGTGGCGACATGTCCAATGTTGGCGGACCTAGAGCTGTGTAGCAGGCTTTGGTTTGTTTTTTTGTGGCTTCAGGGTTTGGGTTTAGGGTTTAGGGTTGAGGGCTTTAGGGTTAAGGGTTTAGGGTTTAAGGCATCAGGGTTGAGCTGAGGGTCTTGGGGTCTTGGGGTCTTAGCGTCTTAGGGTCGTAGGGTCTCAGGGTCTTAAGGCCAGGGTTTAGGGCTTAGGGCGTTTCGGGGGGTTTTGAGGTCAGGATGTGTGCCTTGGGTTCAGAAACTCCTGCTTGGAGGTTCATCGGTACTTTTCCATGAAGGGTAGGTACCCTGAAGAAGGTGTTTACCATACTTACCACCAAAGTCCAAACCCCACACCCTAAAGCCTAAACCCTAAACCCTAAACCTTAAACCCTACACCCTAAACCCTAAACCTTAAACCCTACACCCTAAACCCTTAAACCCTACTTACTCAATGGCCATGAACCTCCGCGTCGGGCCTGGGATCGAGGACTTTCAATGGGGTTTTTGCAATTCGGGCTTGCAGGACCCAGAGCAGGCCCTTATTCCGAACTTATTCCCTTTATTTAGGGTTTTTTAGGGCTTAGAGCGTAGGGTTCAGGTTCTCTTATAAGCCTCCCGTTTTAAACCAAAAGGGCACCATCTTATTCCTGGGTTACTCCGGGGTCTTCTTCTCCGGGCCTCGGGCTAAGATGGAAACCAAGACCCTGGACCTCGCAGGGTTTAGCGTTTAGGGTTTAGGGATTTTGAGCCTTCAAGGCGCGAATTAATCCTACACCCTCAACCCCCAAAAACCCTCAAACCCTCAAACCCTTAAACCCTTAAACCCTTACTCCCTTAAAATCTCTGAAGGTTCCTTAACCCTTAAACCCTGAAGCCTTAAACCCTAAACCCTAAACCCTTAAAAGCCTGAAACCTTACTTTCGGAGATGCCAACCCAGGCGTGGCCAGTGGGGCCACAGGCAGATGCCAAGGCCGCAGCCAAGCAGGTCAACGCCGTAAAGGAGGCCGGGTTTAGGGTTTAGGGTTTCGGGCTGAGGGTTTAGAGTTTTGGGTTCAGGGTTGTAGGGTTTAGGGTTTTCGGGTTTATTTATAAGCTGGGTTAGAAGCATGGTAGCTGTTGATACAGCCATATTTTGGGCACCTTCAGTTATAACCTTGTTTAGGGTACTTGCAAGCCGCCGTGCTTCTAAGTAGCCATGAACCTGAAAGATCGATCCTGACCCTGAACCTGAACCCCAAACCCTAAACCCTAAGCCCTAACACCTTACACACTCAGTCCTGAACGCGCAGGTCCTCCGCGAGGTGGACAGCTCGATACCGATCGTCTTGGCAGCAGCCTCATTCAGTCGGCTTGTGGTCTTTGGACCCTAAACCCTAAACCCTAAACCCTAAACCCTAAACCCTAAACCCTAAACCCTAAACCCTAAACCCTAAACTCTCAACCTTCAAGCCCGTGTAACTTGAAGTCATTCAAGCAAAAAGATAGCTCCTCGAACCTCTCTTCGACTTCGAAGCTTTCCTCGAAACTCCTCGAAACTTTCCCCCGGACCTGCACCCTGAACAATTTCCAAGTCAGCAAAGAAACTCCTCGAAACTGTCTCTGGAGCTTCCCGCACACTTTCCTCGAAACTCCCCGAAACTTCCCGATCTGAGCCCTTAATAATTTCAATCTGGCAGTTCTGCCAGATGCCGGTGTTGAAGGTGGGCCTAGGGGAAGCCGGATCAGATTCAAGGGCTCTATGCGTTGAGGGTTGGCTCTAAGCCCTACACCCCGAAACCCTAAACCCTAAACCCTAAACCCTAAACCCCAAACCCTAAACCCTAAACCCCAAGCCCCAAACAGTTTAGGCTTGGCGCTAAACCCTAAGCAGCTGAGGGTTTGGCGCTGAAGGAGTTGTTTAGCGCTGAAGGAGTTCTCTCGGTTTTCTTTCGAGGGTTCAGCTTAACCCAAGAAACGGCCGCTGGTGCGCAGCTTCCGGGGATCAGGTTTTACAGCACTTCAGCACTTCAGGGGCCCCAAATGGGCACCCTGCTCTTCAAAACCACCAACACCTCTAAACCCCGAACGCTTAAACCCCCAAACCGCTAGACCCCTACAGCCCTAAACCCCCAAACCTCTAAACCCCTAAGCCCCTAAACCCCTACACCCTAAACCCTAAACCCTAAACCCTAAGCCCCCAAATCCCCAAACCCCGAAGCCCCCAAAAGCGCCGAGGTGGCAGGTAACCATGACATCGGCCAGGCCTTGGCCTGTTTTGAAGGGGTTTAGGGGTTTAGGGTTTAGGGTTTAGGGGTTTAGGGGTTTAGGGTTTAGGGGTTTAGGGTTTAGGGGTTTAGGGGTTTAGGGGTTTAGGGTTTAGGGGTTTAGGGTTTAGGGGTTTAGGGGTTTAGGGGTTTAGGGGTTTAGGGTTTAGGGGTTTAGGGTTCCAGAATCCTGGTTTCCTTGTATTGCTGGGTCTCCATCTCTCCGTCTCCCTCGAGCCGCTTCTGTGAGAGGGGAGCGCCCGTTTAGGGTTTAGGGTTTAGGGTTTAGGGTTTAGGGTTTAGGGTTTAGGGTTTCAGCTGGGGGCGTTGTCTCGAAGAGTTTTCGCAAGGGGCGCGCGCGCTTGCGCCTGCGCTTGTTTGTGCCCAGGGCTGCTCATGAGCATGCCTCCACGTGTTGCACTCCCCTTGTGTTTGTTTGCCCTCGCGAGTGGAGGTTCTTGTGCCGGCCTCAGGAAGTAGGTGTCGGTGCTTCCTTGTTGCACATGGCCCTGGTCTCGCAGGTCCCGTCCCCCAGCGAGCTGGACCTCTACTCTTCCCGATGGGGCCTCGCCCGGCATGCTTGGAGATCTTAGGGCCCTTCGGCGTGTTGAGGGCTTAGGGGTTTAGGGGTTCAGAGTTTTAGGGGTTCGTTTAGGGGTTAGGGTGTGTTAGGGGCGCGGGTTTTGAGTTTGAGGGCTCGCGGTTGGTTTTGGGGCCCGAAACGCCTTCTTCTTTGATCACGGTCGGCTTGATCACGGTAAGATCCCGCGTGTCTGCATGTTGTTCTTCTTGCCTTGGGCTCAGGCAAGTATCGCTGAAGCAAGTTGATGCACCGTCCAGCAAACCCCCAACCCTAACAAAACTTTCAGCTCTCCATCGTGCCAGGAGATGGTTTCTTTCATGCCCCAAGCCTCGGGGTGTTGAAACAGCACCGGCGTCTCCAAGCCAGTTCTCTAAGCATTCGAAATCATGGTGCCTATCGGGGTCCGCAATGCAATACGCCTGATATCTAGGGCCCTGAAGAAGTGATCCTATTTTAGATGAACCCCCTCATGTCGGGCGGTCCTCACTGTCCTCAGGTTTGCCTAGACCCTAGACCCTAAACCCTAAACCCTAAACCCTAAACCCTAAACCCCAGAACCCTAGACCCTCCGAGAATCAAGAAGCCATGGCCGACTTGGAGCAGCAGCTGCAGGATGCCCTTGACCTGGTGCAGGCCTCCCCACCCCCCCGTTTCCTCTGAACGCGTCTGGCTGCTTGTGTCTTTCCGTCTGAGGGGGGGGCAAGGGGGAGGGTTTGGGATTTGGGGTTTAGGGTTTAGGGGTTAGGGCAGTTTAGGGTCTGGGGTCTGGGGTTAGGGTGGTTCGAGAGCCTTTGATCTCTGATGTGCCAGGCGCGGGATCTTCAGATCCAAGGCCTCCAGGCCGAGGTCGCCCTGCTGCGGCGGCAGCTCGCGCAGACGCCGCGAGGGAGCGACGATCCGGCTCCGAGCCAGCCGAAGCGGCCGAGGCTGCTCGCAGCACCGCCCGCGCCGTCGCCCGCGCCTTCGCCCGCAGCGGCGCCGGCAGCGGAGCCCGCAGCGGCCCTGGCCTTATGGGATGCTCTGCTGACCAAGGAGCTGATCATGGTGGTGTTCTTGGGCAATCTCTCCTCGCCGACCTTTGCAAAGCTGGAGAATCTGTCGAAGAAAAGCCAGGCCGTGCTGAAAAGGTTCTGGCCGAGAAGCCTTGACTTGTCGGAGGTGGGCAGGGAAGGAGGTGCGTGCTGGTTTCCTTCGGACAAAGCTGCGGGCTTCCAGAAGCTCCTGGCGCAGCCTAAATGGAAACAGGCCCAGGTGCTCCGCTTCCCTGTGACGTGGTACAACAAGGAGCGGTCCAAGTACGGCAGGAAGCACATCTTGACAGAGGAGACCATGAAGGCTATCGCCCGCAACTTGACTGAGCTCGAAGAGGTCGACCTCCTCCCGTACAATGGCACCCCGTGGACTGAGATGGAGTGTCGCATCAACCAGTTCTGTAGCGAGTTCAGCCGCCTCCAAAACCTGCGAAGTTTGAAGATGGAGATGTGGAGCTGGGGCCCTTTGAGGATTCTACCGAGGTTTCCAAACCTTCGCATCGTGCATTTTAAAGTCCCCGGCGTTGTCTTGCCTCCCTTCGATCCCCCTGAAACGCCGTTTCGCCAGCTCCGGTGCCTACATTTCTTGGAGGAGCTTTGCCTGTTCGAGGGCAGCTGGGTCTTTGTTGAAGAGGGTTTTTACATTTCTACGACTACCCAGACCCACGAAACCCCAAGATGTATCATTCTTAGCAAGCCCTCAGGTAGCCGTTGGAGGCACCTTGGGCTAACAGGCCATGGTGGTGAGTTGCAGAGCTTGCTACAAGACTGCCCAGCTCTTCGCCACCTGGACATCGCTGCCTTCATCGACTTCTCTCATGGGCCGATCCTCCCCAGCCTGGCAGCCCACCCAAGGTTGGAGAGCTTGGCTTTCTTCGCTGGCCCTTCCATGAACCTCGCCCATGTCGCCCATGGCCTTACGCAGCTCGCTGCTTCCACCTCCCTGAAGAAGGTTCGGGTCGTGCAGGCTGTGCGTCCAGTTGGTTTCGTTAACGTTCGAGCGCCGGTCCTTCTTCCCTCGATTCCCGGCATCGACATCGTTGACGAACGTAAGGATCTCTTGCGCCCGAGGTGAACTCTCTGCAGCTCGAGGCAACACCGATGATTCTCCAGCAATGTCGACCTGCGTGATGAGAGAAGTAGTGGCGCCTGCTATGGTGCTGAGGGTCGGCGATTCTGTCTTGCAGGTCATGAACTCCTGACACACCAGTCTGAAAGCTGCCGAGCGCAAGCCCGCGAAAAGCCAAGTCACACAAGTTTGAAACGGGGCGCTGTTATGTGTGGGCTAGGAATGTTCTTAGTTTCTTTTCGTCTTGGTAGTCTCAGCTGAACTCTAATTCCCTCTCAACCTGAGGACCAGGGTTACATGGAGCCTCTGCCGTGCAGGCGGACACGGAACCCCCCCCCCCCTCCCCAAAACCCTGTTCTCTGGCATTGAACCAACGCCGTGGTGTAATGGCTTCATGGTTTCGCGAGACAGGGTTTGGGATGGGTTTGCAGTTTCAGTAGGCTCCCGGCTGCCAACTCCAAGCCCTAAATCCCAAACCCCAAGCCCTAAACCCCAAAGCCTAAACTCAAGGCCTAGGCCGCCCAAGCCCCTCGACCTCGGTGGCCCTAGACCCGAAACGCCAGGCGACGACTACTTCTCCTTCTGGGTGCGGCCTCCCTGATCTTTGAAGCCCTGGGAACCTGGAAGCCGACCCTCCCCTCGGGTTTTTGGGAAGCCAAGCTCCCTGCTAAGCCCTTAGCCCTAAGCCCTAAGAGCCCAAACCCTAAACCCTAAACCCTAAACCCTAAACCCTAAACCCTAAACCCTAAACCCTAAACCCTAAACCCTAAACCCTAAACCCTAAACCCTAACCTAAACCCTAAACCCTAAACCCTAAACCCTAAACCCTAAACCCTAAACCCTAAAACCTAAACCCTAAACCCTAAACCCTAAACCCTAAACCCTAAACCCTAAACCCTAAACCCTAAACCCTAAACCCTAAACCCTAAACCCTTAACCCTAACCCTGTGCCTTATAACCTAAATCCTAAACCCTAAACCCTAAACCCCAAACCCTGAGCCCTGAACCCTGAACCCTAAACCCTAAACCCCAAACCCCAAAGCCTAAACCCTGAACCCTAAACCCTACACCCTACACCCTAAACCCTAAACCCCAAACCCTAAACCCTGCTGAGATGTGCGCAAGGTTGGCGGGGTGTATTTCATGGTGATCAACTCCCAGCTCGCCTGCCCAGATTGTGGGGGTTTGCGGTTTTAGGGTTTTAGGGTTTTGGGTTTTAGGGGTTTAGGGTTTTTAGGGTTTTAGGGTTTATACGCTTTCTTCCCCCCCCCCCCCCCCCCCCCCGCCCCCTTCGGGCTTCGGTTTTGCAGCTGGAATCCTCCTAAAGCCCCATGTGCTGTGGTTTTGAAGGCCCTGAGGGTTATGGGTCAGGGCGTTTTCTGGTTTTGCAGGCCCTGGAGAATTATTTCTGAGATTCGGGAGGGGTTTACAATCATAGGGGGATAGAACTGAGGAATGTTCCTTAAACAAAATTGGGGTCTGTCTGCTAATGTAGGGAACATTCGCCAGGTAAGGGGTATTGGAGTCTCTGGCTTACCCATTGCGATACATAAAGCCTAAATCCTAAACCCTAATTCTAATCCTAAACCCTAAGCCAGGTTGCTTGCCTGATGTGTTGTTGAGGTTTTCGGGTTTCGGGTTTAGGGTTTAGGGTTTAGGGTGTAGGCTTTGCGCATTTCAGCCCTGGGCCAGACTCTCCGGGGCCCCCTCCTGGCCTCCTCCACCCCCTGTTGTTCATGAATCCTTTCCGTGCACACGACAAGGAAAAGAGCGCAGGGGTTTAGGGTTTAGGGCTTAGGGTTTAGAGTTTAGGTTTAGGGTAGGAATTTTGGGGCACTCGGCGCAACACACGCAGACAGAGCAGTGAAGCATGCCCAGTGGTGTGAACCCCGAGCCGAGCAGGCTTTCATATTTGAGCTTGGAGTCGAAGAGCCCTATAGGAAACGAGTACAACCGAAGTAGCTAGTCTGGACGCCAGCTGGTGCACCCAGAGCCTCCAAGCCACAAAACCCCAAAATTCCCTGGTAGGGTTTAGGGTTTAGGGTTTGGGGTGAGATTCTGGCAGGTTCTACATGGACTCCTCCAAGACTCCGAACCAGCGCCACGATCAGGCCGCGGGGGCGGAGACCCCTGAACACCAAGCCTTACTTGGAGGTTCATGGCACTTATTTACCAATGATAACTGTACTTGCAACCCCTAGTATGGTTATAAGTACAGTTGTAAGTACAGTTTTTATTGGTTAATGAGTATCATGAACCTCCAAGTAGGGTCCAGGGTACGAGGGTGGAAGGGTTTAAGGTTCAGGGTTCAGGGGCGAGGGTATTGGCCATTGGTATTGGGGTTTGGGGCCAGTCGGTTCGGGGTACTCGGTTCAGGGTTGAGGTTCAGGAGACTTTTCGGTTTCGAGGCTTTGGGGTTTAAGGGTTGAAGCCAACCCGTGAACACAGCCACAACCCCCAAAATTTAGGGTTTAGATGGGTTTAGGGTTTAGGGTTTAGAGTTTGCTGTTTGGGGTTTAAGGGTAAGCCCCTAAAGCCTCCAACCCTCAAGCCCGAGCCCCTGAGCCGCTGACATTCAACCCTCAGGCCCGAGACCCTCAAGCCCCAGCCTCCCCCAAAACACAACGCAAACCTTGGGACCTCAACCCTGAACCCTGAACCCTAAACCCTAAACCCTAAACCCTAAACCCTAAACCCTAAACCCTAAACCCTAAACCCTAAACCCGGTGTCTCCGTGACCTTCTTGAGCCTAAGCCCTTCAAGGACTGAGTTCTACGTCGGTCAGGTTCTTGGCAGGGGCTCCAAAATCCCATTTTTGTGTCCCCCAACCTTGACGAGTTTGTTGCTTCCAAGCCCTACACCCTAAACCCTAAGCCCTGAACCCTAAACCCTAAACCCTAAACCCTAAACCCTAAACCCTAAATCCCGAGCTCTCAGTTTTCGGAGGACACGTGGATCGAAGCGCAGTTCGAGGCGCTGAAGAAGAGGCTCCCTGGGCTCGGAAGGAACTTAAAATCGAGTTTAGGGTTTAGGGTTTAGGGTTGAGGGTTGAGGGTTTAGGGTTTAGGGTTTAGGGTTGAGGGTTGAGGGTTTAGGGTTTAGGGTTTAGGGTTTAGGGTATAGGGTTTAGGGTTTCGGGTTTAGGGAACGAAAAGGGGCGGTCCTCCAAATTGGGGGCCCCTCTCGAGGTCAGTATCTCAAGGGTGCAAAGCAGGGACCCAAATTTAGAGCACCCCAAACCCTAAACCCGAAACCCAAAACCCTAATACCCCGAAGGACATAAATCAAGTAACCACAAGCAGGATCGTTGTTGGAACCCTGAATCTGCAGCTTTGTGTTCGAACAGGGGGTCCTCCGAAGGGGACTTTTGGAGATCTCCTCCTCTTGACCCTAAACCCTTAGACCCGAAACCCTAAGGCGAAGCCCTGGACCCTGGTCTGGGGCAGGGGGAACCAGGTGGCTTAGAGCTGGCCTGTATCGTTCTTAGATGCCTCATTCTTGCTTTTGGCATCATTCTTGTTGTAGGGGCCTTTGAATCTTGACCCTTGACCCTGACACCCTTGGGGGGGGGCAGTTCGATCTTGAGGTAATGAGCTTTCAGTCCGAAACCCTCGAATTCCCTAAGCCCTAAACCCTTAAACCTCAAACCCTAACACGCTTTGAACCCCTAAAACCCTTAGCCCTAAAAGCCCAAAACCCTAGAAACTCTAAGCCCTAAAATCCTGCAAGGAACTATAAACCCTAAACCGCCTAAACCCTAAACCCTAAAAGCCCTAAACCCTAGAAACTCTAAGCCCTAAAATCCTGCAAGAAACTATAAACTATAAACCCTAAACCCTAAACCCTAAACCCTAAACCCTAAACCCTAAACCCTAAACCCTAAACCCTAAACCCTAAACCCTAAACCCTAAACCCTAAACCCTAGAAACCCTAAACCCTAAAAATGCTGCAAGGCAGCCGAAGCATGCTGTCGTCCTCAGCCACGTGCCGCCCTTCATCGAGGAGCCCGACGAGACGTGCCCTGCCTCACAGAAGACCCAAGGGTGCTCCCCAAGACCGGGTTTAGGGTTTAGGGTTTAGGGTTTAGGGTTTAGGGTTTAGGGTTTAGGGTTTAGGGTTTAGGATTGTTGACACTAGCAGCTAGGCTGGGTTTCAGGGCTGCCGAAACCCTCGGACCCACTCAACCCTAAACCCTGAAAACCCCCCAAAACCCTAAAACCCCTAAAGACCCTAAAAACCCTCAAACCCTCAAAAACCCTAAAGACCCTAAAAACCCCCCAAAACCCTCAAAAACCCTAAAGACCCTAAAAACCCTAAAAGCCCTCAAAATCCTAAAGACCCTGAAAAACCCTAAAAGCCCTCAAAATCCTAAAGACCCTAGAAACCCTAAAAGCCCTCAAAATCCTAAAGACCCTAGAAACCCTAAACGCCCTGAAAACCCTAAAGACCCTAAAAACCCCAAAAGCCCTCAAAACCCTAAAGACCCTAAAAGCCCTAAAAGCCCTCAAAACCCTAAAGACCCTTAAGAACCCTCAGACGCCTGAGGCAGGGCTGGGCCAACTGGGAGGTCGAGCCACGTGCGCGAATCGTGAAGCTGGCCAAAGACGCCGGTGTCAGGTGAGGGACGGCTTGCTGTGTTTAGGGTTAGCGTGCAGGGTTTAGGGCTAGGGTTTAGGGCTAGGGCTTAGGGTTTACGGCTTCGGGTTTAGGGTTGAGGGCTAGGGTTCAGGGCTTAGGGCTAGGGTTTAGGGTTTAAGGCTCAGGGTTTTAGGGCTTACGGCTTAGGGCTTAGGGTCCCAGAGTTGCGGGCTCCTCTTGCCTGTGGGCTTAGATGCGCTGCAGGCATCGGAAGCTTTTGGGGTTTTGGGGTTGTAGGGGCCCCTGGGTGCAAGGTTTAGGTGCTTGGGTTTCAGGGGTTTAAAGTTTAGGGTTTAAGGTTCAGGGGGTTCCTGTGCATTCCGTGCTGCATAGAGACATGCGGTTGAGGGTTTGGGGTTGCAAGTTCGATTCCATGGCAGCACGAGCACCCCCCCAAAAGAGGGGACCTGTTGGCCGTGTAAACTTCATCTGTCTTCCTTGGGACGTGAGGCCCTCAACTCCTAACCCCCACTCTGTCCCTAAACCCTAACCTCCTGCATCACCTCTTGGGCGGCTCCACCTTACGGTGGGCTAGCAGACTGGTGTGTCCCAAGAAACAAGCATGTCTCTCACTCGAGAATACTTCGTGGCAGGCTCAGGCACAAGCTTAAGAGTGGAAACTAAGAGGCTCCCTCAATCCCAAGGTAAACATTCTTAAGCCCGCCAAGGTTATACACTGGGCAGATGGGTTGGGAAGGAGCCTGGACACATGAGACGCCCCAAGCCTAGGCCCTAAACCTTAAAACCCTGAACCCTAAACCACAAACCCTAAGCCCTACACCCCAAACTCTCAAACCCAGGTTTAGGGTTTAGGGTTTAGGGTTTAGGGTTTAGGGTTTAGGGTTTAGGGGCTTGGCAACTGACCTTTGCAGGCTTTGGCTCTGTGGCCATTACCACGGAAATGCGGATGCACTCGATGAGGACCTGGAGGCCTTAGGAACGTTCAGGGTTTAGGGGGTTGTAGGGTCTGAGGCTTAGGGTTCAGGGACTTAAGGGTTTTAGGGGTTTTAGGGGTTTTAGGGTTTTGGGGTTTCAGGGTTGAGGGTTTTAGGGCTTTTAGGGTTTTTTATGGTCTAAGGCTTAGGGTTTAGGGTTTTAGGGCTTAGGGTTTTTAGGGTTTTGGGGTCTACAGTTGAGGGTTTAGGGTTTCCCCGCTTATTCTCTAACCCCACTCGTAGGTACCCATGACTTCCAGGCTCAGAGTACGCAGGGAAGTAGGGAATCGGACGCTTTGAATCCGCTAGAGTCCCCCTTAAGGGATGATGTGAGGTAGGGTGTTTACTGCTGTTTTGGGTGAGTGCATGTAGGTCTCCCCATAAATTTTGGTGCGTGTCTTTTGGGGATACCCTGCGCCCGATACCCTAAACCCTAGAACCCTAAACTCCAAACCCTAAACCCTAAACCGCACTCAAAAAAGGGGCACCTATTTCCCAAGAACTCAGAAGAACTTCATGTCGGGGTAGCCGCAGCTGAGCAGTCAGCGGGAAACAGCTTCGGGATGTTTAGAACAGCCAGGTTTGGGATTTAGGGTTTAGATTTCGGGTTTTAGGATGTAGGGTTTTAGGACTTAATGGGACTTTGGCATTCTGGGCTTCAGGTTCTTCCGGTTTCAGGCTTCCCTAAACTGGCCTGCGCCGCAGGTCTATGGGATACAAGGAGGGACCCCGAGAAGGGACCCTTCATCCTATTCCCATAACCAACCCCTTAAAAACTCACATCGTCCCTTTTCGTAGACCGAACGCCCAAGGTCCCTTAGAAGGGTCCCTCTAGTCATGGGATTCCTTGGACCCCTAGGGTTGGACGCTTGTTGCGTTTGGGGACCCTTCTTACAGGTCCTCTCAGGGAATATAAGGGCCACATTCGGAGTATATCAAGGGGAACCTCTTGGGGGTACTTCTCTAGGGGTGCAAGTGGGGATGTTCCCCCTTATGCTCACAGTCAATAATAGGGATTATCATCGGAGGTAATTTAATCCTCTTTAAGGACTGTTAGTATAAGGAGGAACATCCCAAGGTAATATAGGGGTCGGAACAATTCCTACCACAACAACCCCCCCAACAACCTTATTCTAATTATTCAGGCCCCTTATTCAGGCCCCTATATTACGAGTTTCCATCCCCTGAGAGGTCGTGACCTGCGCCGGTGTTGGCAGCAATATCAACTGGATCGAAGAGCCAGGGGCCGCATGCTCAGCCAGCTGGGGGGTTCCCACTCTTCTCCTTAAACCCCAATCCCTGAACCCCAATCCCTAAACCCTGAACCTAAACCCTAAACCCTAAACCCTAAACCCTAAACCCTAAACCCTAAACCCTAAACCCTAAACCCTGGACCCCAGGCCGTAGACCCTGCGTGGGAATGTGTGGGGCGCAGGGGCTGTGTGTCTCCATCTTTGACCCGGGGCTGGATCAAGACAGGCCTTTGTTCTTTAGTACTCGTGAAAGTTTAAAGTTTAGGGTTTAGGGTATAGTATCCCTTGTGTCCCTTGAGCAGATTTCTGAAAGTTTAGGGTTTGGGTTTATAAGGGTTCCTTGGGCAGATGCCGTTGTAGTTTAGGGTTTGGGCTCAAAGTGTAGATCGACCCTTGCCCTAGGGTTGGTGCATTGGCTCCTTCCGCACCAAGACATACCCTAGACCCTAATCCCTCAACCCCAAACCCCAAACCCTAAACCCTAAACCCCACACCCTAAACCCCAAACCCCAAACCCCAAACCCCAAACCCTAAACCCCAAACCCTCAACCCTAAGCCGAAGCCTGGGACCCAGCCATCCCCCTTTGTTTTGTCGGCAGGGTGGACGCCTGCTCCGTCCCGACTTTTTCTGAGTGTAAGGCGTTCCGGTTTCCCTACACCCTGGACCCTAAACCCTGAACCCTGAACCCTGAACCCTCAACCCTGAACCCTGAACCCTAAACCCTAAACCCGGTGTAAAGGCTTTCAGTTCCAAGGGGCCCTCCACAGACCCCATCGCTGCCGGGCCCCTCCGGGCTCAAAGGAACGGTGTTTGAGGCCGCTACATCGCGCGGTGGTTGAGGACACCCTCCATCGCCTTCTGAGACCTTCGAGACTCCCTCGCGTCGCACTTCGCAGCCATGCGTGAGGCAATCTGCATTCACATCGGCCAGGCGCGCGGAGCGCTTGTGAGCAAGCTTGAGATGGGCCACACCGTCAGATGCACAATCTAGGGGTCGGAGTTATTACTAATGGTTTTCCCTTGTGGTCCCTTTATAAATATACAATAGTACTCCACCAAACCCTGTTCTAATTATTATGGCCACTATGTGACTTGCTTGCCCTTTCGCCGCTTTGCAGGGTGGTGTGCAGATCGGAAACGCTTGCTGGGAGCTTTTCTGCCTTGAGCATGGCATTCAGCCGGATGGTCAGATGCCCAGCGACGCTTGCCTGCCACTGGGTACAATGAATGAAAGTCCCGCATCTGTCTAAACCCTAAACCCTAAGCCCTAAACCCTAAACCCTAAAACCCTAAACTTGTATGACACTCAAATCCGAAGCTAAGGATAAGACCATCGGTGGTGGAGATGATGCTTGGCTAGTCCTGAGTGTCTTGCCATCACGAACGTGTCCATGCCCACTTTTTGGAACCCAAATCGTGCAATGCCGAACACATTCGCATCGAGAAAGGAACCTGCTGACACGTGGTGGAAGAGATGTTGTGCTGTCCGCAGACCCATGACATCTCAATCCTGAACCTCGCAAGGACGCATTTAACACGTTCTTCTCGGAGACTGGTGCTGGCAAGCATGTCCCACGCTGCGTGATGGTGGACAGGGGCTCAGATCAGGGCGCGCTTGGTTGGTCTGGGGCTGAAACGTGCCTTACGGTACGACTGCCACTGCTTGCTCCTAGTTCTAGAGATGTCCTGCGGAAAGGATCTCGGGCCGTGATGCCTTTTTGCATCTATCCGCTCCCTTGGGCCAGGATGGTGCATTTACAATACATGATCTTATCCCTTCCTACGGGTTGCCAGGATCATGCATTTACAAGATACACACACACACACGTTCACACTCACATTCACATTCACAGTCACTTTCAAATTCACATTCACATTCACATTCACCGTCACAGTCACAGTCACATTCAGATTCGCCGTCACCTTCACCTTCACAGTCACATTCACATTCACAGTCACAGTCACACACGCACACTCGCACACCCCGAAAGGATCTCGAGCCGACGGTCGTGGATGAGGTCCGCATCCTAGAGCAGACCCGAAGTGCGTGGTTCTCTTAATTGGGGTGGTTTGTCAGGTCCTCCGTTTACGCCTGCTGTAGCATATACATACATATATACATATATAAATAGGACCTGTATAGTATTTTTCAAAGGGGGTTCTTGGTGTTTTCAGGGTTTAGGGGTGGTGGCTGAGGTCCGCACCGGAACCTATCGTCAGCTTTTCCACCCCGAGCAGCTGATTTCCGGCAAGGAGGATGCGGCCACTGGCTTTTGAAGTGGAATGTGGGCTAAGCGGCTAAACGCTAGGGTTTAGAGTTTAGGGTTTAGGGTCTAGGGCTAGGGTTTAGGGTAACCCAAACCCTGTTTCGGGTACCCCTCAAAGTGAAGCTGCGCAACGCAGTAGGGGGGCGCCAAAAAAGTCCTTGTTAAGAGCCCTGTACATGTGTTTCTCTTTGGGGGTTTTGGGGGTTTGGGGGATGCGTAGTTAGCATCCGTCGACCCTAAACCCATACTTGCACAGCAAGCAGGTGTATTAGGTGAGGACCCTTTCCCTCAACTCTCAACCCTAAACCTTAAACCCTACCCCGTTAACCCTAACCTGAAACCCCGAAGTTCAAAGGCCAACAACTTTGCGCGCGGCCATTACACGATCGGGAAAGAGATCGTCGATCTGGTGTTGGACAGGTGGGCCTCGGATGGCTTTCGGCTTCGAGGTTTGGGATTTGGGGTTTAGGGTTTGGGGTTCAGGGTGTAGGGTTTGGGGTTTAGGAGTTCAGGGTTTAGGGGTTTGGGGTTTTTTCTAGGGTTTGGGGTTTAGGGCTTTAGTGTTTGGGTTTAGGGTTTAGGGTGTGGGGTGTGGGGTTCATGGGGTTTAGGGGTTTAGGGGGTTTAGGGGGTTTGGGATTTGCTTCAGGGGTTTAGGGCTGAGGATTTCGCCCCTCTGAGTCGGTGCATTCGGGAGTGTCAGGGGCGTTTTCGGATTTAGGGGGTTTCAGGGGGGACATCCTGGGTCATCGTTGCATGGTCTTTTTTAGGCCCCCAAGGCCCAAAAAGCCCCTGATTGTTTTGTTGAAGTCCTCGGGCTCTCAGCCCGGACTCCTTAAGCCCTAAGCCCTAAGCCCCCCCCCCCCCCCCCCTTCCCGGCCCCCTCGGAGCCCTCTGCCGCCCAAGCCACGTTGTTCGCTGATGCTGCAGCAGGATCCGCAAGTTGGCCGACAACTGCTGCTGGGCTGTCAACTTAGAGGTTTAGGGTGTGGCCTGCAACCAAAGCAGGCATGAACATTGCTTTGCACATGGCCAATTTCGGGGGTGCTTTCGTGATGCGGGGCTGGTATGCGACGGCGACCCGCACCATGGAGCTTCCTTGAACATCACCGGTGCGAGGAGGAGTGATGCCTTGGGATGTTCCCCCTTAATCCTTGCTCGGATTATACGAACAGCCCTTAATAGGGGATTATCATAGGGGGTACTACATGACTCCGGACTGTTAGTATGAGGGGGAACAGTTAACATCTCCCAAGTAATGGTCTGAGTTGGCACCTCAGGTACTGGCTTGCAGGGCTTCTGCGTGTACAACGCTTCTCGGATGCCTCAGGGCCTTTTTTTGGGTTTCCAGGAATGACGTGGGGCTTGAGGTTTAGGGTTTAGGGGTTTGAGGTTTAGGTAAAACCTGGAACCCATTTCCCGTGCCCTGGAATCCCAGACGTTTTGAGCGCCATCCAGGCCTGCGGGGGCGGAACTGGCTCCGGCTTGGGCTGCCTCATGCTCGAGCGCCGGCGATTTAATGAGTGAATGCTGGGCCTCTTGAGCCGTTGTCTGTAGAATGGACAGCGCCTGCACCTTAAGCCCTAGACCTCCAAGGCCCTCAATCCCAAGCAACATCCGCTGACTGGTAGGACTTCCCGGGTGTGGGAGGTGTCCAAGGACGTGGGGCTTTTACTTTCTGGCTCTTAGGGAATGAGGGAATGTGGTACCCCACGTAATCCCTGAAAGGGTAGAATATTTATGGTAGGAGGATACAAGGTACGCAGTTGCCCCATTCCCGCTAAGAGCCATTATGAAACTGCTTAAGGGCCTTATGCCTTATGCTCGTTTGGGTCTACGGCTTCGGAACCTGGCTTCAGGTGCTATCGGTCCACTTCATATGCCAGTTCGCATTGGGGCGTATGGACACAAAATAGGCAGTTAGGCAGCGTGATGTAGCCGAGTCAGATCACTGGGAGATCTGGGAGGCTACCGTACGAAGGTCAAAGACCTCAAGCCAGACCCTAGCTTTTCAACAGGACTTTCCTCTTCCACCAAGGCGCCTGTCCGTGGACTACGGGAAGAAGAGCAAAATCTCCTTCACGGTGTGGTGCTGTCCACAGGTGGCAACAGCCGTGGTCGAGCCCTACAATACCGTGCCGATGTCCTCGTTTAGCCATGCCATTCAGTGTTGGACACCGAATGTTCATGCAGCACCTTTCTTTCTAGCCAGGCCGAAATAGAGCCAAGGTGCTGTGCGTCCACTCTTTGTTGGAGCACACTGATGTGACGATTATGTACGACAACGAGGCGCTGTACGACATTTGCCGCAGGAGCCTTGTCCATCCTTGTCATTGATTTGGGTTGGGCGGGTCCGGGTGTCGTTGCTTTTGAGAGCCTGGCTCGGTGTGCAGGAACCTGGACATTGAGCGGCCGACCTACACCAACCTGAACCGTCTCATTGCCCAGATCATCAGCTCCCTCACGGCCAGCCTTCGCTTCGATGGAGCCTTGAACGTGGACATCACGGAGTTCCAGACCAACCTGGTGCCGTACCCGCGCATCCACTTCATGCTCACGTCCTACGCTCCGGTCATCTCCGCCGAGAAGGCCTACCATGAGCAGCTGTCCGTTGCGGAGATCACCATGTCCGTGTTTGAGCCGGCTTCCATGATGGTGAAGTGCCATGCTTAGTTGCCAGGGGCAGAGCACCGCACCAAGACCGCAGCAGCCCAGCAACCATGTCTCAAGCGCCTTGTGTGGGAAACCACCCCCAGGCAGTCAAGAAATGTCGGATTAGCTGTCCTTCGCTCCGAGTCCTAACCATGCTTCGGTGATTGATTCAGCCCCCAGACCGGTGTGTGCTGCACACACACACAGAGACGTCTTTCACGCATCGCTTTGCTCCCACCCTCTTCTCGGCGATTGCTCGGATGGTGCAAGTCAACCACATGAGTGAACTGCCGCTACAAGTAGTCGCCGTCGCAGCCGTCGCTGTAGTCTTCCTGGCCATGAAACAGAAGAAGAAGAACAGAAGAGAAGAAAAGAAAAGGATGAACAAGAAAAAGAAGAAGAAGAAGAAGAAGAAGCAGTAGTAGTAGTAGTAGTAGTAGTAGTAGTAGTAGTAGTAGTAGTAGTAGTAGTAGTAGTAGTAGTAGTAGTAGTAGTAGTAGTAGCAGTAGGAGGAGGAGGAGGCAGCGTACTGCGACAACCAAACACATGATTGTACTGAGGTGTGATCCGCGTCACGGCAAGTACATGGCCTGCTGCATGATGTACCGCCAGGGTCCCAGTCTGTTCATGTCCTGACATATCATTGGCCTTGGGTGTGCCCACGCATGAGCATCCGAGAGCTTGCCGGGTGTGTGTGACCGTTTTGACGTGCTGTTGGCGGGGTAGATGCTTTCAGGTGTGTTTGTGCATGCGCCTTTGCTCAGGCGGTGATGTTGTGCCGAAGGACGTGAATGCCGCGGTGGCCACCATCAAGACCAAGCGCACCATCCAGTTCGTGGAATCCCGTTAGCACGCCCGAAGTGAAGCTTCAGAACCTCTGTTTACCAGAGGGGTTGGCAGCTCCAGAACATGGAACCCTAAAGCCCAAAAACCCCTCAAATCCTGCAAAGTCCTAAGTTCGGTCCGGAGCACGGCCTGGTTTTTCCCTGAAGGGTCTGGTACATGGGCATTTCCAAGGATTGGTGCCCCACCGGCTTCAAATGCGGAATCAACTACCAGCCCCCCACCGTGGTCCCAGGCACGAGTTGTGGGCTTGAAATTGTCATATTGGCAAGCTTGATAGCCCCGGGATTGTTCAGGAGCTTTCCTCTTTAACTTTAGGTAGATCATGCAGCTCCTTACCAAAAGGGACCCGCATGTATCCCAAGCCCCCCACCCCCCCCGATATCCCCAAAAGGGTGTTGCTGTGTGTGAGGGGTGAGTTCGCTCGGGTGTGTCCTTGAGTCCGCCCGCTCGGATGTGGTCTTCGATCCGTGCGTTCACAAACCTTACATTTTTGGGCTGTGTTAATTTGGATCGGATGTACGTTGGTACCCGTGGGATCGGGGGATGTTGCATGGTGTGACGGCAGTGGTGCTCTAGCCCAAACGGAAAGTGCATCACACTCCAATCTTGTCTTTGAGGGGCTGGGTCGTATGGGCCACACCCTAAACCCAAAGCCCAACACTAAACCCTAAGCCCTTGTCTCCTGGGGCTAGGAGACTTGGGTTCGGGAAGTTTCTGAGGCATGGGCCTTGTGTGAAGGGGTGTGAGAAGGTTTCCAAACTTAAGGGCCCATATTAAGGGACCATGCAGCCACCCCAAGACTGCCTTCTCCTCTTGCGAGGTGGAGACTTGGCCAAGGTCATGCGCGCCTGCTGCATGATCTCGAACTCCACCGCCATTGCAGCCGCACGTCTAGAGCCACCCTAAACCCGAAACCCGAAACCCGAAACCCTAAACCCTAAACCCTAAACCCTAAACCCTAAACCCTAAACCCACAGGGCGGGCAGGGGTTCGGGCACTGCTAGTACTGAGAAGATACCACGAACGCCGCGGGGATGACTGGCGACGACGACTAAGAATCCTATTCACGACATTCATGAAACTACCGCTGTTTCTTGACTTGCTTGTTGAGTTGGGTGTGGTGAGTCATTGCGCTTTGCTGGCATGGGTGGTTGGAGTAGATTGGCTCGTTAAAGCCAACAAAACCCTAAACCCGAAAGGCTTAGCCGTACCCCCCTAAGGGTCCTGGGAGCACACGCCAACGCCGCAAAACCCATGTCAGTGCAACGGCAGAAGGAAGTGTTCTCGCGCATCGACCACAAGTTTGACCTCATGTACTCGCACCTTGCTGGCAAAGCCTTGGCCCTAAATCCAAGACGCACGAGCCCTCAATCCCAAAACCGAAGCCCTCGACCCGCACACCATCCCCTGAGCCCTAAACCCTAAACCCTAAACGTACGGAACCCCGACACCCTAAACCCTAAACCCTAAGCGTGCGGAACCTCCAACCCCCCCAAAACCCAGGGTATAGGGGTTAGGGTTGGGCTAGCCCTCGGCCCTACGCCCTAAACCCCAAACCGCTTCTCCCCCATCGAGGAAGCGTGCCTTCGTGCACCACTACGTGGGCGAAGGCCGGGCCGTTAGCGCTCCAGGGCTTCAGAGGGTGTTGTGGTTTAGGGTTTATAGGGTTTAGGGTTTAGGGTCTGGGTTTTTTAGGGTTTTGGGTTCAGGGTTTAGGGTCTAGGGTTTGGGGTTTAGGGTTTAGGGTTTAGGGGTCCCAAGCCCCAAGGGTGTGGGCGTGCAGGGGAGGACCTTCGGAGCAAGTGCCCGGCACAGGAAAGGGAGAATCAGAAAATGTTCCGTGCAAGGGATAGTCAGAAATGTTCCGCGATTCGGGTTTTGGGGTTTGTAGGATTTATGGGGTTTATGGGGTTTTGGGGTTAGGGTTTATAGGGTTTAGGGTTTGGTGGTTTATGGTTTGGGGTTCGGGTTCTGGGGGCCCCCCAAAAACATCACCAAAAAGAAGCCGCTGCGTCGTCATCATTCAAAGTGCCCTAGATACAGTACCCACTGACATTAAGGAGGCCCTAAACCCTAAACCCTAAACCCTAAACCCTAAACCCTAAACCCTAAACCCTAAACCCTAAACCCTAAACCCTAAACCCTAAACCCTAAACCCTAAACCCTAAACCCTAAAAAGCTTTCTCGACAGCCCTCTCGCTGAGTAGGCATGGAGGAAGGTGAGTTCTCCGAGGCGCGCGAGGACCTGGCCGCGCTGGAGAAGGACTACGAGGAGGCAGCAGCGGTTCAGGACTTAGGGCTTAGGACTTTAGGGCTTAGGGCTTAGGTCTTAGGGCTTTGGGCTTAGGGCTTAGGGTGTAGGGCTTAGAGCTTGGGGCTCGGGGCTTAGGGGTTTAGGGTTTAGGTTCTAGGGCTTCGGGGTTTAGGGGTTCCTGTTGTGGTTTAGGCAACAGGGCAAACCCATTTATGGCTTGCGCGCCGGAGGCCTGTAGCTTTAGCCGACATGAGCCCTCAACTTGGAGACCCGAAACACGAAACTCGAAGCACCAAGCCCCGAACCAGCTGACCAGGTGGGCATTGAGACCGCCTCCTGGCTGGTGACGCACCGATTTGGCTTTCTGCTTGTTCTGCTGTGCATGCCTTGGTGGTTTAGAGGGTGGGGTCTAGGGTTTTATGGGCTTAGGGTTGAGTTTGAGGCTTCCGGGTTCGGGCGTGTTCTAGGTGGAGAGATGGTTGTCTGCATCCTTGTCGTGATCTTCCGGTTTCCTGAACCCAGGCCGAGGGAGAAGGCGAGGAAGAAGGCTACGGAGACGAGTTCTGAGATAGCCAGACGCCTCCTTGGGAAGCGGGCCGGTCAGGGTGCTTTTGCTTCCTCCGAGAATGTGTCTTGCTGGAGTGCTCGGCAGGAGAAATTGCATCTTGCTGGCACGTACAGCTGACCTGCATGCGAGAGACGAAAAGTGCCTGGCGCTTGGGCCACCGACTCTGCAAATCCGAAACCCCAAACCGCAAACTACCAAAGACAAGAGTGCTCGGGCTCTGGGGCTTCGGTGTGGGGATAGGGGTCGAGGGCCGAGGGGTCCCATCAATAACCCAGCGGGCCATGAGCCCCCTTGCCCTTAAGCTCCTGAACCCTCAACCCGAACTCCTAAATCCTGAAAAACAACTTCAAAAACCCTGAAAATCGCAAACAAACCCTCGAAATCCTGAAAGCCCTCAAAACCCTCAACCCTGAACCCTGAAACCCTGAAACCTTGCAATCGCGGCAGCGAGGTTGTTGCGACCTCCACACGGCCGAACTTCGAGAAGCCGCGCTCCCGAAAAGGGCTTTAGGGGGTGGAGGGGGGGTTTAGGGCTTTTACATAGGGCTTCAGGTTTTGGTGCTCAGGGTTTCGGGTTTAGGGTCTTGTATTTCGTCACGCGAGAATCCGAGCCAACCCCTGCCGGACCCCGAAGTTTCGGAGCCGCGATGGGCACTTGGAGGTTAATATCTACTTCTAAGTGGGGTCACAAGCTACCCTAACAAAAGGTTATAGCTGTAGTTGCCATACTTGTACTTATACTTATGTATTCCCGTGCACCTCCAAGTTAGTTCTCTAGGTCTAAATGGTCCCTAGATTGTAAGGCTCTGTATCTTCATAGGAAGGAACCTAAAGAGGTGAGAGACTGCAAAGTTTCTCCCCCCCCCCCCCCCGCCAGATGTGAGGTTTTGGGTTTCGGGCTCGGGGTTTCCGAGTCTAGAGGGTTGAGGGTTGGGGGTTTAGGGTTTAGGGTTTGGGGTTGAGGGTGTATGGTTTGGGGTTTGGGGTAGGGGGGTTAGGGTTTAGGGTTTGGGGCTGAGGGTTTATGGCTTGGGGTCTAGAGAGAGTTTGCCTTGGTCGTGGCTGGGGAAGCGGCCAAGACCGAATCGACCTCCTGCCCTGGGCGCAGCCGAGGCCTAAACCCTAAACCCTTAACCCGAAACCGTAAACCCGAAACCCTCAACCCTAAACCCTAAACCCTAAACCCTAAACCCTAAACCCTAAACCCCAAACCCTAAACCCTAAACCCTAAACCCAAGATTAAGATTAGGGTTGAGGGCCGCCAGAAGCTAGGCGGACATCTCCTTGGGCACATCTTCTCATGACCTCTTTCGCACACCCACTACATTCCGGCACCCTAACTCTAAACCCTAAACCCCAAACCCAAACCCCAAACCCCAAACCCCAAACCCCAAACCCCAAACCCCAAACCCTAAACCCCAAACCGCAAACCCTAAGCCCTAAAACCCTGAAACCTACCAAAGGGCACCCTATCCCTAAACCCTAAACCCCAAACCCAAAACCCTAGAACCCTAAAACCTACCAAAGAAATCCACACCTCTGAGGTGTGTCGGAGAGCCGCCCTTCTTCGCGGATGCGCAGCACTCGGGGCTGCGAATTGTCCGCTTCGACGAGGAGGGCAGCAGGACCTGGCAGGGTCAGGGTTTAGGGTGTAGGGTTTCGGGTTTGGGGTTTAGGGTTTATGGTTTCGGGTTTGCGGTTTGGGGTTTAGGGTTTCGGGTTTGGGGTTTAGGGTTTAGGGTTTCGGGTTTGGGGTTTAGGGTTTAGGGTTTAGGGTTTCGGGTTTGCGGTTTGGGGTTTAGGGTTTAGGGTCAGGCTTACGTGCAACCCTAAGCTCGAAGCCACCGACAGCCCCTGAAGTCCCCTCCGGGATGAGTTTCGGGGCCAAACCGCAAAAACCAATGAACCCCGAAGCCCCCTAGACCCTAAACCCTAAACCCTGAACCCTAAACCCTAAACCCTAAACCCTAAACCCTAAACCCTAAACCCTAAACCCTAAACCCTAAACCCTAAACCCTAAACCAATGAAGCCCCCCGAGCCCGTAGCCGCAGGCACGACTTCTTCTTCCTGGCCGACATGCCCCCCACCCTGGAGGACGCCTTCCGTGAAGCCCGCGGCTGAGTCGGTACCCCTAAGCCCTCAAGCCTAAACCGTAAACCCTCAAGCCTAAACTGTAAACCCTAACCCCTAAACCCTGAACCCTAAACCTCTCTTTGTAAAAGATGTACATTCATAAGTATTTCTGTATATTTAAACCCGTAAGGTTATTCCGGGCATTACCATGCCCACTTGCTTGTTATCATGCCCACTTGGTTGTTTTTTACCATGGCCACCACAATTTTACCAACATGCGCCCCCGGCAGACTTTATCATGCCCATGTCAAAATTTACCATACCCACAGAGAACTTTACCATGCCGACAAAAATCTTTGCCAAAATGCCCTTTGGTAAAAGCTCGTCGCTGAGCCCACTAGCTGATTATGAGCTACGTTGCTTGTTCTATCGGTTAGTTTCCAGCGGTGGGTACAGGCACCCTAAACCCTTAAACCCTAAACCCTAAACCCTAAACCCTAAACCCTAAACCCTAAACCCTAAACCCTAAACCCTAAACCCTAAACCCTAAACCCTAAACCCTAAACCCTAAACCCTAAACCTAAACCTAAGGCATCAGAACCCCACGGCGGCCAGGAAACCCTAAACCGAACCGCGCTCCCTCCCCCAGAAGACGAGGCTTGGAGCGCGCAAAAGCCCCAAAAGCCTAAAGCCTAAAGCCTAAACCCTAAATCGTAAACCCTAAGCCCTAAACCAAAATACCCGCAAAAACCAGCCCTGAGCCCAAGCCCTGTACCAAAAGCTCCAAAAGACCCAAAGCACCAAACCCCATGAACCCTAAACCCTATAAATCTATAAACCTTAAACAGCCCCATCCACCCTAAACGCCCTCCAATTTGCATCCAAGGATGGCAACTTCAACGGAAGTCCCCGGAGGCGGCGGCGGCGGACCACCTCGCTTGTCAAGCAGAGGCCGGAGCTGAGGGTTTTTTGGCCTTCTTTGGGCGGTTTGTAGGGTTCAGGGGTTGTGGGGTTTAGGGCGTGTTAGGGTTTCTCTTAAGGTTTGCGGTTTTTTTTTGGGTTTCGAGGGTTCGGGTTTGTGTGCGGTTTGGGGTTTGGGGTTTGGGCTCAGGGTGTCTGGAAGGACCCGCAATGAAGGCCAGCCTCTGCTTGGGGCTTCCATGTGGCTCCCCAAGCTCGAGATTTCCAAGCCCCAAACCCTGGACCCCAAGCACCAAACCCTAAACCCCAAACCACCCTAAGTCCCCCAAACCCCAAAAACCCCAAACCCTACCCCCTAAGCCCCAAATCCTAAAACCCAAATCCTAAACCCTAAGCCCCAAACCCTGAGCCCCAAACCCACGTGCCTGCAGGTTGGGCCTTCCAGGCTTTCCCGAGGACTGGCGAGCCACTACTGGGAGGTCCTCAGGTAGTCATTATTGGAGTAGAAAAGGTTTAGGGTTTAGGGCCTGTTTAGGGTTTAGGGTTTAGGGTTAGGAAACACGGCAGCTGTAGTTATGACTTTCTTGAAGTGCGTTTTGCCTCTACTAACAAACTTGCCCGTGGAACCTCCAAGCAAGCTTTCTTAGGCTCTGTTGCCTCTCCCAAATGGTTTGGGGTTTAGGGTTTAGGGTTTGGGGTTTAGGGTTTTGGGACCTCAAGAACTTCAGGTGGAGCAACTGGTGGGGTCCCGACCATGTTCGCGTTTAGGGGTTTAGGGTTTAGGGTTTGGGGTTTAGGGTTTAGGGTTTAGGGGTTAGGGTTTAGGGGTTTAGGGGTCCCTTGTAATGAGGACTCCAATAAGGCACCCCCTATTTTCGGAAACCCCCCAATTAGGGCTTAGTGCCTCAGTGAGCACACACTCCTGAGTCGTCAGGTCAGGGGCGGTCAAGTACTGCAGCAAGCGAACAGAAGGGTATCCAGGGTTTCCTTGACACTAAACCCTGAGCTCTAAACCCCTAGAAACGAAGCCCCAAACCCTAAACCCCAGCCTCTAATCTCTAAACCCCAAACCCCAAACCCTAAACCCTGAACCCTAAACTCTAAACCCTAAACCCCTGAACCCTAAGCCCTACATTGGCGCTCCGTGCGAGGATACCTCACCGTCCAGGTCCGGCTGAACGCCATGCGAAGCCCAAGATACGCAAGATGTGGGGTTTAGGGTTTAGGGTTTAGGGTTTAGGACTTCAGTGTAGAGTCTAGGGTTTAGGGTTTAGAGTTTCGAGTTTAGGGTTTTGAGTCTAGAGTTTAAGGGTTTAGGGTGCCCAAAACCCTAAACCCTAAACCCTAAACCCTAGACCTCAAACCCTAAACTTTACAGACTAGGCCTGAACCCCAAACCCTAAGCTTTACAGACTAGGCCTATGGGCTCCAACATCTCCACGGGTGCGTGGATGCGACGTCAATGTGGATGCGGCCGAGCCTTCGTTTCCGCTCCCCCTCTTAGGGTTTAGGGTTTAGGGTTTAGGGTTTGGGGTTTGGGGAAGCAGTCCCAGAATGAACGCATCCGATGACGGGCAGCTCCGGGGTTTCGGGTTTAGGGCTCAGGGCTGACTGGGATAGCTTATGATAGCTTTTAAGGAACCCTAGAACATGAGAATCTATTCTTCTTAAGTATTAGAGAGTTGCAAGCTTCCATTTCTGGTTTTTGTGGCTTCGAGCCCTTTGCAAACAAAAGGGTTCCTTCAGCAGGTTCTAGGTGAAGCTTTTGGTGGTTTAGGTCTTCGGGTTTCCGAGTTAGGGCATTGCGCGTCGGGCTTGGGCCGAGGTTTTGGGTGGCCCTAAACCCTAAACCCTAAACCCTAAACCCTGAACCCTAAACCCTAAGCCCTAAACCCCAAACCCCAAACCCTAAACCCCGAGACCCCAGACTACGTGGCCGGCCGTGTCTTTAGTGACGGCGCCGCAATTTGTCGCAGCCTTCTGTTCAGACCCCAACCTTCCCCT